TTAAAGAGTCACCACCTGCCCCGAGAGTGGTGAGCCCTCCTCCACTCCCCTGTCCAACTCCACCACACACGGGAGACCCGGACCCTTCATTCCCCAAAGCACAACCAGCACCAGAATGTCTTGCAATGAGAGACTTGACTGAAGGCCTGAGGATCAAATGGGGCATCACTGAAAAATAAACTAGGACGGGAGCCCCCAGGGCTCTGGAAGTGTTGACCGACCATGACCCCTCCTGCTACCTCTCTCCTGAACTCTCTCACCTACCTCCAGGTGCCGGGGACCCCCATTCCTACCCCCACTCCCAGTTTTTCCATGGCCCATGTTCAGGTCTCCTACCCCAGGCAAAGATGTGGCTGCTCTGGGAAGCAGCCTTTGATAGGAGTTTATGAAGTACTTAAAAACCTGAGTCTAACACAAAAGGCCACGTATTGCATGATCCCTGTTCACATGAAATCTCCAGAACAGACAAACCTGTAGATGTAGAAAGTGAATTGCCTGGTCAGCCGGAGCAGAGTAGGGAGGAATGACAATGAGTGCAGGGTTTCTTTCTGGGGTGATGAAAATGTTCTAAAATCAGATAGTGGTGATGGTTGCAGAATCCCGTGCATACTAAAATCCACCAAATTGCACATTTTAAATGGGTGCATTTTGGGACATGTGAATTATATCTTAGAAAAGCTGCTTTTTTTAAAAACAAAGCTCTGTCGGCGGTCTTCTTGTAGGCTCAGCACCTCTGTGAGAACAGGGAATGGATATAGTGACCCATGAACAACTAGGTTTGAACCCATCAGGTCCACTTGTACCTAGATTGTTTTCAAAAAATATACCTAAAATACTACAAATGCATTTTCTCTTCCTTATGATCTTAACCGCATTTTTCTTTTTTCTAGCTTAAATTACTATAAGAATACAGCATATAATACATATACATACAAAACACATGTAATCAACTGTTTATGTTATCAGTAAAGCTTCTGGTCAACAGCAGGCTATTAGTAGTTCAGTTTTTGGGGAGTCAAAAGTTCTACGTGAATTTTTGACTTGCAAGGGTGGGGGAGTCAGCACCTCTATCCCCTGTGTTGTTCAAGGGTCAGCTGTATTTGCTTTCCGTCTACAATCACGTGGAAAGTCACAGGGAGCTGCTCCTGCCAGAACAAGGGAGAATCTGCCCGGGGACAACCTCACGCTTCCCTTTGGGAGGAGGATCTGCGTCTGGCCTCACGGATGTGAGGAGGCAGGCCTACCTTCAGCGATGTAGTCAACGCAGTCGCCGGTGCTGGAGCAAACGGAAGCACCTGCAACCTAGACGAGCCCCGCCCTGCCTCGGGGAATTCACTGTGCGAGTGTGATGAAGGAATGGAGGAAGGGGTGAGGAGAAAGTGAAGGAATGATTGAGGAATGATTGACCTCACTTGCCAGGACACAGAGAGCCTGGAGAGCCCCTAGGATTCTACCTCTGACTTAGCGCCCTCTTCCCCAAGATCCCCGAAACTTCCAGGGGCCCTGCTGACCCACTGGCCCTGGGAACAGAGGGGGGTGGGGGGGCTGGATTAAGTCCCTGCACTTCCAAGGCTCCACTGCACTCCCTGAGGCTCCTTCGGAGTGACGGTGTGAAGACAAATGGGCACAAAAGCCTTGCCTTGCCAGCCCTGTGGGCCATTTTGCACCGCAGGCAGGAAATAAATGACTCAAATGTTCCTTTTGGCTCAGGCAGTTGTTGAAATGGGATTCCACTCTCAGCTGCCAAGGGCGGGGAGCGGAGGGGGAGAAGGGGGCGCGGTTCCTTCAGACCCCTCCCCGGTGGATCCTGGATGGAACCACACAAAGCTTCATACACCACTGTTTGTTTTACTAAGGGCAGGACGCTGCTGGTCAGGCTGCAGAGAATCAGCTCCCTGCAGGAGCAAAGAATCCCTCATTTCACGAGGAGCTTGGGGTGTCCGCAGCCTCTGAAAGGTTCCAGGACAGAGAGAGCCTTGTATAGGTTCTGGAATGCGCTCGGCCTTCCTGGTGGTTTGGAGGACCCAGGAGCTGCCCAGCAGGTGGCTTGCGAGGGACCTGGGTGGTGATGCCTGGCAGTGAGGGCCACCAGTTGCAGGGGAGGGGAGCTTGTCTCCTCTGGTTTGCTCAGAATCCAGTGATCTGGGGCGGGAGGATGAGGTGAGTGGGCAATGCCCGTGGACAACCCATAGCATGGGCAGGGGCCACGGAGAGGGTGGTGAAAACATTCTGGAGCTCCTCTGGTCTCCTCTGGGCTACGGAGCAGGGAGCTTGCGGAGGTGTCCTGTCCTGTCAGAGTCTCCGAGGCCTCATCTAGAGGCTGGACCTTGAGGACTGTAAAGAGTTAATGATAAAACATTTTGGGAGCACCTGCACCCCATACAGAGCACCAGGAGCACTTCCTTCCCAGCATTTAAATCACAGCCGGGCTGACCCAACCTACCTCCCCGGCCTCTCACAGGCTTCGGCTTTGGCACTCGGCTGCCGCTCCCTGAGCGTGGTCAGACCTCCCTGCCTCCGACTCTGCTCACTGGTCCCTGCTCCCCTGTCCCCTCGCATGGGAGGGGAGGGCCCACAGGTGGGCTGAGAGCTCAGGCAGCCTCCTGCGAGTCCTCCCACCCCCTGTAACTGGCCTCAGGGAAGTTACTCACCTTCTCTGTGTCTGCCGCCTCCTCTGCAAAAAGACGAGGCCACAAGCAGTTCCTCTACCAGAGGCTCCTTGGGAGGCTACAGGGAGATGCCTCAGGAGCGAAGCACTTGGAGCAACACGGGGCGGCGCAGGGCAAGCCTCAGGGCCTGCCACACGGCACGTACATCTCTAACTCGGCGCTGAAGTGTGTGGGAGACACCACACGTTCTGGAAGAAAAGTTCCTGACTTTTCAGGAGGTGCTCAGAAGAGTCCGTGCTTCCTTTCCCAGCTTTATTCTCTTAAAAGCCCTTCACTCCCTGAAATGCTCTTATTTCCTTGTCTGTCTCTATCCCCGCTGGAAAGCAAGCTCCAGGAGGCCTTGTCTTGCTCACGGTTGTCCACGGGGCCCGAGCAGAGCCGGACGCCAAGCGGACTCCCGATATGTTTTGAACGAACAAATGTGTAAAGGAGGTACCTCAACGCAAAGTACAGATCTGGCCTGCACTGGGGCTCTGGGCAAGCCTGGCGCCGTCAGCCGGGGCCCTGCTCCTGGGGCCAGAGCTCAGCTGGAGCAGGGACCGCTTCTCCCGAGCAGCGGTCTGTTCTGCGGAGGGGCTCAGAGCACAGACTGGAGCCACCAAAGAGGACCAGAATTCTAGGACCTCTGTCTCTTATCTATTGCTGTGGGACAAATTTCCCTGAAATTTAGTGGCTTAAAACAATTTTACCTTATCTCATAATTTTGTGGTTAGGAATTCATGCAGGTGCGGCTGGGCTGGGCGATTCTTCTCCACGTGGCATCAACTGAGGTCACTTGATGACAGCCAGCTGGCAGATGGGCTGGTCGAGAGGCTCCAGGACAGCTTCCCTCACAGTCTGGTAGCCTGATGGGATGTCTAGAAGGGGTGCTCGGCAGGGACTGTCTCCTGGAGTGCCTGCACCTGGTCTCTGCAGCACAGAAGCCCCATGGTGGTCAGACTTCCACATGTCAGCCCAGGGCTCCCAGAGGCTGCTCTAGAAGACTAAGGTAGATGCTGCAAGGCTACTTTTGACTCGGCCTTGAAAGTCACGTAGCATCACTTCCACCATGTTCTACTGGTAGCAAGCAAGTCACAGAGCTAGCCCAGGTTCAAGAGAAAGGGCAAGAAACTTCACAGGAGAGTGAATACCCTTGGGTGGCGGTGCAGGCATCGGGGGAACACGCTGGCACAGCCTCCCTCTGTGTGGGGCTGGGGGACAGAACCTGAAGTGAGGGCAGGGCCAGGAGAAGCTCAAGAGCCTCACTCCTTTGACTGGCTTTCCCAGGAACAAGAATCAAAGGACCACTGACTCCCAAAGAGTCCCAACCACCTGAACTTCCAGATGATTCCATATTCTATTTCAATACTTTGCCCAAGTCAACTACTCAAAAAAGATACCATGTTCCAAGCGTTCACAACCACCTATTGTATTTGTACATGCTTATGTGTTTCAGCCAGATCAGTAGCTGTACACCCGCTGGTGGGCCTGCAGACCTAAGTGTCAGTCACCCAGGCTCTTCAACCTTCAAATCCTTCAGCCACCGAAAAATGCCAGTCCCTGGGAAACCGAGCCTGAGAATTCAACAGTGGCTGTTTGTTCTGGAAACGTTATGAGCTATAGTTCAGGTGGGAGCAGTGCCATTCCCAGAGTGCTGCTGGTTGCTCCAACCCTGTACAGGGTGGACCTCAGACACAGCCCTCGGGGAGAGGCTGGTGGGCGGCTGGGACGCAGGCCACAGACCCCACCTTTTAGCAAAGACACAGCCTCCAGGGAGAAAGCGACAAGTGACCTCACAGATGTCAGGAATCCACATGGAAGCACTCACGCGCAGAACTGGTAACTCCCTGTAAAATGTTCCTCCTTCACAACAGAACTCTCTCAGGTGAAGATGAGCAGGCTTAATCAGAGAAACCTGGGCCCGAGCCCTAGCTGGATGACCCTGGAAAAGTCATGGAACCTCCCCGAATCTCCTTAGTAAAACGGAGGAGAATGTTGCTTGCCTCACCACTGGTAAAACTAAATGACGTGACACAGAAAGTACCTAGCACAGTGTGTGGCATTTGATAAGCATTCAGCAACTGAGTGTCTTAGATGTTGTTATGGGGTTGGTAACCCCAGCAGCTGCTGCCAACATCCGTCTCCTCGCCACTTCCCTGGCCCAGTGTAGATGAATCGCTCCAAATTGGCACTGACCAACAGACACATCATGTGAGCTAAATGTAGAGATTGCAATTTTCTAGCAAGCCCATTAAAAAAGATAAAAAGAAATGAGAAATTCATTTTGATAACATATTTTATTTAATCCAATCTATCAAAATGCTATTTCGATCCATAACCAGTATAAAATTATTACAAAATATTTTACATCCTTTTTTTAATATGAAATCTTTGAAATCAGCATATACTTACACTTATTTACAGCACATCTGAATTTGGACACATACCATTTCGGTGCTCAATGGCCACATGTGGCTATGCTGGGTCAGCCTACAGGATGGCACAGGTCCAGGAGAATAAGCTGGGTGGCCCTCCCTGTTCAGAGCTAAGCAGCCTGGATGTTGGCAGAAGTCTGGCCTGTCTTGAAGATGCAAGAGCCCTCCCCTCACAGCCCCCATCCCCAAGGATAATAACTATTTTTACAATACTCTCCAGCTGAGTTTGAAGAGAAGAAAAAGAAAGGCAAATTACCATGAAAACAAATGGTTTATTTTTCTTTATATCCATAGCAAATTAGGAACAATACATAATCATACAGAACCTTGCCTCTCCTAATGGAAAGCATACTCTTTATTTGTACAAATGAAAAAAAAAAAAAAAAAAACAAGCACCATGGCTTTGACTTGGAGCCAGCAAGGTCAGGGACCATCAGGACCCAGACAGGACACGGTGAAATGGATCATCTTCCACAGAAGGGAGTGCTGGGGTTGCCTGGAGATTCCCACCCAGAGAGGGGCCCAGGGAGCCACAGATAATGACAACTGAGGTTGCACTAATCTGGGCCAGCCCCTGGCTCTACAGACCTCTGGGCTCACCTGCATTCAGAGCTGAGCATGTAAATTTGGGCATAAAACATAGAAGTTAAGGTTTCGGGGTGGGGGTGGAGAAAAAAGCCCTAGAAGAGATGGAGGTTGAAGGAAACAGAGTGGTATAATGAAGAAACACCTTAATCCTCTGCCTCCTGCTAATGTCAAAGTAAGAAAAGATGTGAGATTTTAAAACAATGAAACTAGACCACTTCCTTACACCATACACAAAAATAAACTCAAAGCAGATTAAAGACCTAAATGTGAGACATGAAACCATAAAAATCCTAGAAGAGAGCACCGGCAGTACTCATTCTGACATCAGCTGTGGCAACATCTTTCTAGATCTGTCTCCTGAGGCAAGGGGATCAAAAACAAACTAGTGGGATGACATCAAAATAAAAACCTCTGCACAGCAAAGGAAAACATCAATAAAACAAAAAGACAACCTACTGAATGGGAGAAGATATTTGCAAATGATATATCCAATAGGAGGTAATATCCAAAATATATAAAGAGCTTATACAAAAAAAAAAAATCTAATCAAACAATGGGCAGAGGACCCAAACAGACATTACTCCAAAGAAGACAACTAGATGGCTGACAGACGCGTGAAAAGATGCTCAATATCACTCATCCTCAGGGAAATGCAAATCAAAACCACAATGAGCTATTACCTCACACCTGTTAGAATGGCTAAAGTCAAGAGAAGAAACAGCAAGTGTTGTGAGGATGTGGAGAAAAGGGAGCCCTCATGCACTGTTGCGGTGAACGCAAGCTGGTGCAGCCACTGCGGAAAACAGTGTGGAGGTGTCTCACCAAATTAAAAATAGAAATACTATATGATCCAGTAATTCCACCCCTGGGTATCCACCCAGGGAAAATGAAAACAGTAAAATATGAAAAAGACATACACACCTCTATATTTATTGCAGCATTATTTACAATAGCCAAGATATGGAAGTAGTCTAAGTGTCTACTGATAGATTACTTCTGGTAAAGAAAATGTGATATATATATATGTGCAATGGAATATTATATATATATTATGGCTGTATAATATTCCATTGCACATATATATAGAAATACTATGATATATATGTGCACATATACATGCAATGGAATATTATACAGCCATAAAAAAGGATGTGGTCATGCCACATGAGACAACATGGATGGATCTTATGCTAAGAGAAGCCAGACAGAGAAAGATAAATACCATATGACTCCACTTACAAACAGACTCTTAAAGAATGAATAAACAAAGAGTGGAATCAGAACTACAGAGTACAAACTGATGATTGCCTGAGGGGGTACAGAGATGGGCAAAACAGGCAAAGGGAAGAGGGAGCTACAGGCTTCCAGTTATGGAATGAGTAAGGCATGGGAGTAAGAAGTGCAGTGTAAGGAATACAGTCAATATTATAATAGTGATGTATGAGGACAGGTGGTACTCTTGTGGTGAGCAGAGCATAAGGTATAAACTTGTTGAATCACTAAGTTGTACACCTGAAATCAATATAACATGTGTCAACTCTACTCAAACTTAAAAAATTAAAATAAAAAAATGAAAAATAAAAACAATGGGACCCTGGAATGCCATTAAAAAAATAATCAAACGAAAAAAATTTTAAAATCCTTGGTAGAGATTTTTTTTAAGAGGTCTTCCTGGGGCACCTGGCTGGCTCAGTCAGTTAAATGTCTGCCTTCAGCTCAGGTCATGATCTCAGGGTCCTGGGATCCAGTCCTGAGTGGGCTCCCTGCTCAGTGGGGAGTCTGCTTCTCCCTCTTCCCACACCGCTTCCCACTGCTTGTGCTCTGGCTTTCACGCTTTCTCTCAAATAAATAAAAAATAATAATAATAAAATAAAAATTAAAAAAAATCTTAAAGAAAAAAAAAAAAGAAGAACAGATCTCCTGGAAACAGGAGACGGGCCCATTAACTGTGCATGATTCTTTCCAGACTTAGGAATCTCCGTTTGCCTGGACGGCACCTGGAAAGACAGGCTTAAGATGACATTTGGTCAGATGCCACTTGCCACAAAAGATGAAGAACTGAGTTTTACAAAGAGGGTTTTGTGGGAGCAGAAGAACAAGGGCAATTCTAAACCCATTTTTCTATTTGATCCTCAGCCTCTATAAAGTTTAACACCTCTGATGAAGAACAAAAAGCAAACTGAAACTCCATCTGCATAGAGGTCACTCTGAACATCTTTACCTTAAATGACACACAGAGACCAGGAAAAGACCAGGAAATGGACTGAAGGTACTCGAGTTCCAAATCTACTAATCCATTCCCATTTGTTTCATTTTCTGTTTATTTTTTCAATAAATTGGAGAGAATGTGCAGAAAGAATGGCCCCTGACTGAGCTAACTTTACTCTTCCCAGAGCTGAGAATGGACAGGCTGAGTTCCCAGATGCTAAAGACGGTTCTCCATCCATGACGCGGACGTCCAACACCGAAGGCTGGCTTCCTGCCTCGGGAGCAGTGGCTGCAGCTTCACTACCTCCTACATCTCGACATGACCACCACCGACACTCGGCGGGACAATCAGGTATTCAATACCTGTCATCAGCAGAAATATTGGGAGTTACACATTATTCTCTTAAACCTTCATGGTGGGTTCAGAATCAAGTTACTACTTCATGCATATTCATTTCTTTTGACTCCCACACAGGCCAGGTTTAGAGTTTTAATCCAATTTTTATTTTATTTATTTATTTTTATTATTACTTTTTTAATCCATTTTTTAATCTGGGATGAAAAATATACTTCTGTGTTCAATGATTTGAAACCTCCTCTGAGCCATCCGGGAATTAGACGGATTAAAAGCTTTAAGGAATATGAATATAAATGTGTGTGCTTGTGTGTATACATTGGTTCTGTTTGTTTCACTGTCCAGGGAGCATATCCATCAGTAATTATAAAGTTTATTCCCTCTGATGATCATGTAGGAGCAAATTAACCTAATAGTGGGCAAAAAAAAAAAAAAAAAGAATGTACGAAGTCAACACAACATGACACACAGCCACAAAAAAGGCTTCAGCACCCACTCTGGAGTGATAGTGTCCTTACTAGTGTTTGCCCCTCATTGCTTGGGAGAGCCCTCCCAAGGAGTTTTATCTGTGCTCATAAGCGGGTGAGTGTGGGCTCCAGGCAGCACACGAGAGCAAAGGAAGGACGTCCCCCTGGAAGAGTCTCTAAAGATATAAAACACAACACAAGACAAAAAGTGCAGTGAAATACCTTGAGCCCACCACCAGGTGGTCAAAGCAGTTTTTGGCTGCAGGTGTTGAATACGGAGGCCTGTGTGTCAATCAAGTGAGCAGAGCCATCCCCAGGAGGGACCTCCCCATACACATACCCTGCTTCTGGGTTTACATGGCGTGGTCAGCAGGGCTCGAGTGAGCCTCTTGAAACAGGAAGACACAACCCAGTGCATTCTCTGCAGCAGCCCGGAGACCCCCGGAGAGTGCTCTCCTTGATGCCCTGAGAAGTGGGGGCCTCAGTGTCCCTGCTTTCTTCCTCCTGACACATGCGACAGGGAGTTCCAAGGCTCAGGGGCTGCTCACTCCAGCTGGCAGCCTGGGAGTCTACTCTTCCTGCCTTCAGGAGCTCTTCTGCTCTGAGAAAACCAGCAAGGCCTCTCCAAGTCCACCGAGCAGGAGGCTGCAAGAAATAGCAAGAGGTTAGCTTTCTGGTCCCTTGAGTATGGAGGCTGCATACCCACTGAGCTGCCCAGTGCCCACCTGCAGCAGGGCAAGGGGTCCCTCATTCTGTGGTAGGGACCCTCTCATCCCCTGCCTAACCTGCCCTGCTGTCAGGTCGGGCCTGGTGATCCCAAGTAAATGTCAGCTGTGTGGCAGGAGGGGAGAGGGCTGCAAGGTGGGGTTGGAGCCTTTCCCCCTGGGAAGCAGGGGTGGTATCCCGCTCATCCTGACCCGGCACAGGAGACTGTACTCTAGCAAATGCTCTGCAGCAGATGCAGAGGGGACAGGGCTTCCCATACAGCTGCTAGGGGGCCTTTTTGCAGAGGAGGCTTGATGACAGGACGACACCATGCAGGTATCCATAATCTTACCGTGACTGAAGTGACAGTCTCTGCACCCTGCTACTTCACTGAGACTAACAGAACAGTTAGAGATGAAAATACTAACGGCAAATCATGAATTTCCCACCAGAGCAGAAAGAAATATAGTCAGCGATTTGAAAATGAAAAGGTAGAGTGGGAACACTGCAGACGGTGAGAAGGAGTTGACTATTTTAACATGCCTCTAATTAATTAATAAGATTTTATTTATTTATTTGACAGAGGGGAGATCCAAAGAGCACAAGCAGGGGGAGTGGCAGAGGAAGATTGCTGAGCAGAGAGCCCAATACAGGACTTGATCCCAGGACCCTGGGATCATGACCTGAGCCGAAGGCAGGTGCTTAACCGACTGAGCCACCCAGGCGTCCCCACATGCCTCACATTTAATACATCCAGAGGTCTGTACATTTTCTATCTTAAACTTCTCAGCAGACAATCTGCTGTCTGAATCCTCAAATTCTTCCCAAAAAGCACTTCTGGGGACTGGGCTGGGCCGTCACTGAAGGATTATGATGGGAGGTCCCTGGTGATAAAATGCTCTGGATCAGAGGTGCCAATGGCCTTTCGGTTCCATGTGTGCCTCCATCCATGTACCCACATGCAGCACACACACACCTAGGCCGTGGCGTCTTTACGGGTCCGACACACACCCAGGGCACCCAATATATGAGACACAGGGTGGCGTGAACATTCCCAGTGAGAAATGTCACCTATGTGAGTGACTCTGACATAAAGAAAACTTGTACCATTTACCTCGTTCAGCACAGGGATGAACTAAGTGTGAGACTATTAAAACAATAAAGTGAGTTCAAACTGTGGCTCAGGTGTTTACGAGCTACGTGACCCTGTGCATGCTATCCAGCTTTCGTCTCGTCTGTGCCACGGGAGACGGTCACAGCCAGCAATCTCTGTGAGGCTGGAAAGGGTATACATGAAGCCATCACCCCCACACTTGGCCTGTAATGGACAAGTGATAAAATATTATCCTATCGGCTAGCTGACTGTCCTCCCAGGGCAGCAGTGTCTTCCTCACTGGCCCTCAGAGCTGGCTTCCTGATGCTGCTTGAAGACTTCACCTGGGGGGCACATCCCACTGCGCAAAGGGTTCAAGCCGGTGTCGATGGGCTTCTGACTCATGGAAGACCCTGGGCACACGGTTCCTCCCTCCAGGGGGAAGTCCTTCCTCAGGCTGACCCAACAGCTGCTTTTTACAACCTTGCCTGTGAGTCCCAGTTCTGCCTTTTAGAACAACAGAGAACAAATCTACTCCCTTCCCCCTGTCAACCCTAGAGAGGGAAAAGCGCCTAAACCACCATCATCTCCTCTCCCTGGTGACTACAGGCCTCTGGGTGAGAGCAGGGGCACTCGTTAGGTAGACAGTCACTGGGGGACGGGGCCAGGAGGGTGTCCCACCCCCCAGGGAGGGGAACAGCTGGGATGGAAAGGTGAGAGCATGAGGGGGATGGATGCCTGGTCTCCAAAGCTCCAAGTTGGAATGTACTTTCTTCTTTGCCCAGAAATACTATGAATAGTGGCAATAAGTCCATAAATTCTCTTTAATGCACATTTAACTCATAACAATGCAACTGAAATTAGCATTTACGTTAGAGGTGAAACAAATGCCCGAGGACCTTCCTAGATCTATAATCATCGTTTAAAGGATTGCTTCTGTAAGAAACTGGGGTCCAAGTTCCAGAAGGCCATATGTGGAAACATGACCCATTTGTGCTGGTGCCTGGTCTAATTCAGGGACATCTCTTTGGATGAAGACGTAACTGAACGGGAAGCCATTCTTTTGGTCCAGAGGCTCAGCCCTGAACGCCAGGCTTTTCCTTTTACACAGATCTTACTGTTCCTTTCAACATCCCTTAAAGAACACACACACACACACACACACACACACACACACACACACACACACACGTCTTCTTAACACCCCCCACCCCCACCCGCACCCCCCAGGCAAGTTCAGAGTCACTGTGACCTGGCGCACAGGCTGCACGGGCCTTTGGCCTTGGGAGGGGCTTATTTCTGCAAATGTAACGGGGGGCTCAGTCATTTCTGCAGCTTCCAGTAATCCTCCGCAGTCACCAGGGAGAAGAATAGCCTACGGGCTGGCTCGTTGCCCCTTCTCCCCCCACGGCCTTAGAACAATGCCGAAGTGTAATAACCTTGCATTTCATCCGCTGGGCTTAGCTATTTCATGAAACACCAAAGCAGCTTAGTGAATGCTCAGAAGGAAACAAACCTTGGTTCAAGTTTACTGGTAAGAGAGCCAGGGAGGTAAGCTTTGATGTTGTTTTCTAAAAAGCAGGAGAAGCTGACACAGGGCACAGGAATCTTAATAGCATTACAACTATTTAAGTCAGGGCCTCACTGAACTGTTGGCAAATCTTGTAATCCCCATCATTCCTGAAGTCAACACACTTCATGCAACGAAGGCATACGCACCAGATTGTAGACCTTACCCAGCCAGAAACATCCATCACTAGCTTCTCTTTGGGTTAGGGGTGGGATGGGGTGGGGTTTCAGGGTCCCTCCAGTCTTTGCCCATCAGAAGAGGCCTCAACTGTACATTCATTACTGTGCTCATTCAAGCACCTACTGACCCCATGAGATGGGGCAGAGCCTGTACCCTTTTCTGGCTGGGGGCCCAGCACTACATGCAGCGCCTAATAAATATTTTTTCCATGAATGATGATGAATTCTTATCCTTGCTCCCCCTGCTCCCATCCATGTTCCAAACTATTTTGGCTTTTTTTCTTTTCCACGAAAAGCTATTTGCCTAATGTGCCACTCCCTTGGAGGCTTGCTGAGGGGGACAGTTCACAATTTGATAAATTACTCTGTGTGGAGAGGTGATGAGGGACAGTTCTCTAGAAGGCCCTTCTTAGCATTTTAGAGTTTTTGCATTTTTTAACGAAAATGGAAAACTGATCAATTTCCATCACTGTGATCCTAGCTGCACTCTGGGGTGTGTTGGGGGGAGTAGTACTTCCTTCACCCCTGAATTCACTCTTCCTATAAAGAGGCTTGGGCAGTCTCTGTGCAGTGTCTGAAAATAAAGGCAGAAGATATCATGTGTGGGAGGCTTGTGCTAAGATCCAGCATGTTGGTAACTCATGATCAATGGCGGGCTCCGTAAACGATCAGCAAAGGCAAAGGCGAGAAGGGATCACAGAATCCTCAGAACAAAGAGGTTGTGTTTGGATTATTTGTTTTCTCTTCTTGTATCTAAGTACTTGCAAAGGTAAGAGTCTCTCCTATTCTAAAAAGGATTCAAAGAAGGGGCACCCACAACTAATTCTACTCCACAGGGACATTGCTCACGGTTCAGAATTTTTTCTTTTGTATGTGTTGGATCCGCTTTGCTGAAATTCTGGAATAGAGGAGTACATATTGATATATAACATGAAACTCTGTTGGTTAAAAGTGAATAATTAAATATTCATCTGGGTATTTAAATTCTGGGCTTGCAACAGATTGTTTTTATAATAAAAACAAGATAATTTGTCAGATAAGAGCAATTGCTTTTAAGAAAAGACTTTAAAAAGTTGACCAACATTGGTACTTAGGTTTATAAGTTTTCTCGGTATGGGATGTAGAAGACTGGCCACTCATTTATTCAGTCCTTAGGGCTAGGCGGTGAGCCACACAAGTACATGAGTGTGGTTCCCCTCCTGGAGGAGCTCACAGCCACAGGAAGATGAGGTGTGCACATCTACCTGTCACTTAGCATGGTGTGTGCTGCACACAGAGAGGGTGGGAGGGGCTTCTAAGAACCAGACACACGGGCTGACCAAATCTCTAACTCAGGAGATAAGCAAGCTGCTAAGTCTTGCCGAAATTTTAAATGGCATTTTCTTCACTAACCACCACAAAACTTTACATCCCTGATTCCCAACTGGGGTAGTTCTGCTCCCAAGGGGAGCAGGTGCTATTGGCATCCAGTGGGATAGGGCTCAGGTTTGCATCTAATAACCCTACAAGGCATAGGACAACCCCCCTACAACAAATTATCTGGCCCCAAATATCAACAGTGCTGAGGTGAAAAACCCTACTTCAGATGATGATGTTTCGTGCAGCTAAGCTGCCAGCCAACCCCCCCACACCCCCAGAAGGTAGATAATGACACGTCATGCACTCATTTCCTGGATGGTTGACCTCGCTGGGGCCACACACTGTGTCTGTAGCCTCAGAGCCCACCAAACACCTTTTGTGAAATGAATGAATGTATGTGCAAATGGAGGCTCTCAGACGTAGCTGATACAGGGTCGTCTGGTCTCAGCCGGCCTGGTGTGGTGGAGGCTGCGCTGACTTCAAGAGTCCATGTCCTCGTAAGGGGGCAGTCTCTATTCCAGCAGCTGGGGCCATGTGGAAGTACAGGCCCAAAGTAGCCATTGTTCCATATTTTCAAAAGAATCTGGAAACCTGGACCTTTATGGGGAAATCACCTGACTTCTCAACGTCAACCAATTTAAAATTTGCAAACCAAACAAGAAACAACGACGATACAGGCAAACACAGGAGGTCCCAACAAAACAGTTCTGCAGTCCCTGCCCTTTGTGACTTCTGATCAGTTCTAAGCTCCCGCAAGACAGAAGGCAGCCCTGCTGGCGCCCAGGCTCTGAGAGCCGGTCAGCCAGGCTCAGCTTGAGCACACCAGTCTGTGGACAGTGCAGACTAGTTCTGTGCAAAAGACAGGAAATCTGAAATACAGCCTGACACTCCTCCTCTGGTGGTTCACTTTGTGGTTGGAAAATTCTTTGGGGCTGAAAACACACCATCCTTAAACTCAAGAGTTCTCAAAAATCAGGAAATTCCAAAGTCAAGGTTCCTTTTGCAATAATCACACATGCTGTTTCCTTGATTTGGGTACACACAGGCTTTCTTTCCATTTTGTTCAGGGCATACCCATCAAGTTCACAGGACATGAAAGAGCCTGCAGGCTTGGCCTCTTACAGACTGCTGCTGTGATAGTCAGCCTTAGCATTTCCTCCCTGCTGGAGGAATCTCACTCCTCTATTTCTCACACTCGGCTCAACACCTGGGTTTTTAAAATTCATTCTGAAATTCTGTACAAAATACAGTAGTCGGAAGTTTACTTGTAAGAAAGAAAAACACCATCAAGAATTTAGACTCCTGCTATGTAGGTGAAGACATTGACATTTGGGGACAAGTCTCAAGAATGTATCAGGATATCTTGGCAGCTGGGCTTCTGGACGTCACCCACTGTGGGCGTCATGCCTTCCTGGAAGGACAGGTGCAGGGGAAGAAGTGGGGAGCATGGAATTAGCTCCCTTCCCCACAGCCGCAGCTCCGGTTCCAAATCACCAACACTCACCATTGGCACCTCCTGCCTCTCTATCCTTCCTGGTCTTCCCGGGGCCAGAAGGCCCAAATCCTCTTCCACCCGCAGCCTTGCTAAGCCTCTCTATTCTGCATAAGGTCCAGTTCAAGCCAGTTCCAAAGCCTTCCTGATGGCCCATCCTCTCTCCTTCCTTCAGCCCTCACATTTGCTGTGCATTCAAACCATGACTGTCTTATCCCACAAATTATCTTTATGATTTCCCTGCCCCTTCCCCTCCTTGAGCGCTGACATGTCTTTGCATGCAGCAGTCACACAATAAATACTTTTAGCTAACGGACAGAATTATAGTTTATGGTATTAACTAAGACAATGAGATCTTTTTTCTATAATCATTCCACTGGACATTCTGAGTTCACCATGTCAGACCCTCAACAAGAAATAGAGCTGTCTTGTCCTGAGTAATGCTCCTTCTGTGTTGCTGTCGAATTATCTAGAAGTTCTTTATAGATGATCATACTGGGGGGAGAAGAACACAAGGCCAATTTCTCTTATATCTCCATTATGACCCACTTCTACCTAGACACTGTCTATACTGTGGGTAAATCCTTGGTGTTTGCCAAGTCAGGTTTAAGGAGGAACAGTAAGGTTATGGGGTCTTGGGCACACACAGGTCTGGTTTTGAATCCTTGTCTAGTCATAGTAGCTATAAAATCTTGGAAACATCACATAATATATATAAAACTAGGAGTTCACCAACAGTGCTTATACTTGTGTGGATAAGTAGCTGAAAGGTGTGTGGGTGATGTTCTATTTCTTAATCTGGATGCTGGTTATAGTAGGTTCGGTATAATCAGTTTGTGAAAATTCATCAAGGTGCATATTCATGACATATGCACTTCTCAGAATGTATATTTACAGGTCAATAAAATATATATCCCAAAAACCCATTCTTCAACATTTAAGAGGGAAAAAAAAATAGTATCCTGATAAAACCCAAACAATGAATTTGCTTTTCCTCTCTCTGTGCCAAAGACTTACCATCCCACCGTTGCATTGGTCAGGATCATATCAAACAGCAATACTGACAAAACAGCTGTGATGACCTGCAGAAATAATTTCAACAAAAGGGCATCAGAGCAGCAGGACTTCGGTAACCTTCTCCGGAGCCCTTGTTTACAAGCTGAATTCATGTTAGTTCAGATTCCAGACGTCACTTGTTTTTACTTCATGTCCTTTTCCCCACACACTTGCTAGGCCCTGTATTTAGTGCTTCCTCTGAGCTAAGCATTTGGTGGAGAAAATGCTAAGTCCTAGTCTATTTGGGAGGTGAATATCTTCATAGAAACACAACTTACAAACTCTTCAAAAGAGGAGGCACACAGCCAGCATCTCACCCATCTCTCTCCAGGGCAGGCGGAGAATAAGAATATGCATTTCCATCTTGTCTTTATGTGCATAAATAATCCCCAAACCCAGTTCTGCTCATTGATCTGTTCCCACATCCTCCAGCTAAAAACTTAGCTGTCACCTTGCCTTTGCTCACAGCACCATCTCTCCCTCTGTCCCAATGCCCCTGTTTTTCTGGCCCATAAGTTCTAAGAAACCAGGTGCTGCCTGGGGGAGGGAACAATTAAATCATTAATTAATTATTTGCAGGGGCACCTGGCTGGCTCAGTTAGAGGAGCGTGTGACTCTTGATCTCAGAGTCATGAGTTTGAGCTCCACATTGGGTGCCGAGATTACTAAAAAAATAAATAAATTTTAAAAAATTATTTGCAAATTCCTAGAAGCCAAAAGAGGGAAGAGGTTATCCCTGCATCTCTCAGAGCTAGAAATGACAGAAAAGTCTCTTAGGAATGGCATTAAAGGGACTCACACTCCCATAGTATCACTAAACGGTTGGCACAAAGAGTGTAGTGTGTGTGAACCAAAGACCCAACTCTGTCACCACTTGGAATGCCTGCTCAGGAAAAGATGTTTTTTCCCCAGAATTCTGTATTCTAAAATGCGAGTTGGCTTCCATTGGGAAGGTGAGTCTAAGGACGTGCTTTCTTGCAGTGAGAAGGAGCAGGGGGTCATCATGGAATGGGTCCCTCAGGCTGGACACCCTGGGAAATGTGAAATGCCACCTCACTCAAGGGGACTCATGCTGTCCTAGAGGCCTCTCTTAGGGTCTCCAAGCTGGGAATCAGGCAGCAAGCAGGTGGCCAGAAGGAAGGAGTACATTTAATCAGTCTCACCCTCATTCATTTACCATTTCAAAAAAAAGTCTGCAAATATTTTTTTTTTAAAGTCTGCAAATATAAACCAGGAATCTTCAGTACAGAAACTCTGTGAGGCTGTAGAACCTGTGTAATTTACCCACTTGAGGTCCCTCTCTCTTTGCTTCTTTTACTGATTTACAGCAAAAAAACATGACAGCAAAACAGACCTGTGTTTTCTTCAGGAACAAGAATGAGGTGGCGACCAGGTCAGTGAGACAATTGCAAAGCAAAACCCAAAGAACGTGCATGGAGAAAGAGGTTTATCAAAGTGCTGGGGGTGGGGGTGTGGGGCAGGTATCTTCAACAACAGGGTGAGTGGCAGCTGTTCTTCTCCTATCCTCCCCCATTTCGTTTAACATTATACTTAGGACCTTCGCATCTATGGTCATAACTGAAGGGATCTCAAAATTTTATTAGCTTTCCATGCAACTGTCGGGTTTTGGGAACAACGTTATACCGACCACATCAAGTTAGTGCATCCGCTTCCCTGCTTACCTTCCTAATAAAGGATGAAGGTGATCTTTACTGAGGATGTTAACTCTGACTTGAATACTTTGGACCTGGATGGACCTTCTAGTTGGGGCTGGCCTTTAACAGCCACTGTCTTAACCGAATCTTCCATTTTCCTTGATTCAAATCTGTCATTTTCACTTTCCAAAAACGTCTTTCATCTAGGTTTTCTAATTCATTCACATTTCGCTATTTGGAAAGCAATACTATTTTTTCTCATTTGCACCCATGTTTGTTACCTTATGTTTTATTCTTATTTTTATTGTCATTTTCTTTTTTATTTTTCCTTCCTTAGTCTTAACCAAAGTTAAGTTTGTTAATCCCTCTTTACTTTTGCTGCTTCTTGGATATTTCCTGGGATGGAGCCAATGGGGATTTCTTAGAACCGCTGAAATAGGCTCGGTTCTGATGGATGGCCGTGATGTTGGCAGCTTGGCGCAACGGAACACCTCACTAAATTGATGAAGGGTTCAACTGGCCTTTCCTCATTCTTCACCATTGTTTTTAGGCCCTTTGCCCCTTTATACCAGCTTTTCAAGGCCTTCTCTGATGGACTCATTCCTTATTCTCTGATTGAATCTCTCCACAGCTTCCATCTAGCGTGTGAGGCCTCCACCCCCCACACACTCTGGAGTCCTCACAGCCTGGGACGCGTGCCTCCCTTCCTCTGTGCACTTCTTTAGCTCAGGACTAATCCTGTCTGCCATGAGATAGACAACTGGCCTGCTTATTCCTATTAACTGCACCTTTTGCCAAGAAAAACACATCTTAAAACTTCCAAACCAGCCCTTACTTGAAAGTAAGATTGGTTTAGGAGCCACACTGGTGCCTTTGCCATGTGCTGCTTCCTGGAAATGTTTGTACAGTCTCTTGCTTTTCTCCTGAGGCACTTTTTCAAACTTTTCTAAAGTTTTATCTCTCAATGAGCACATTTTCTGCTGGCTGAGACACTCACTAAAATTTCACAAATAGGTGTGTCTTACTGCTATAGTGAATGTATAGTGAAGTTGTCTACACTACAGAGCTACTGTGAAGTTCAACGGACCACTTTGTGATCTATTCAGTTAGGAACCATTAGGCTTCTATCATAGGCTTCTCTACTTTTTTTTTGCTTCCATTGCCAGCTCAAGCAGTCAGCATTAGAGGCATTTTCTCCCTCCCTCCCTCCCTCCGTCTCTCTCTCTCTCTCTCTCTCTCTCTCACACACACACACACACACACACACACACACACACTCACTCATCAAAGCTCTGCCTCTTCACAAAAGTCATTGCCGAAGATGGGATTAGTAGCAGCCAGCAACGCCTCACCAAGAGGCAGACACTGGGCAGTCAGCCAGGCCAACTTGCCCACTAAGTGACTTGCACCCACACACCAACCTCACCATGTGTGAGGTTCAAATTCATGCCTCAGCAAAGTGAAAGATTTCTATATGCCATGGGCCATCAAGGCTGCTCAAGAATCCTCCAAAGTGGGAATGATACACCTGCTCATGCCAAGGGTCCATTCCACTTCCAGTTCCACCAAGGAACAAACAAAAGCCAGAAGTAGCTGAGGGTGCATGTCTGGGTGCAGAGTGTCCTACACGTGGTTACCTAGGGGAAGGACCTGAGAGGTGGAAGGGACTCCCCAAGATCAGGGGTGGGGGACCTGTGGCCAAGAGATAGAGGCTCCAGGGGCCTGGGACCTCAGAGCAGTGAGGAGTAGAACCAACGCCCTGCCTCCCAGGTCAGTCTTCTCTCACAGCCAAAAACAAGAAAGGACCCACCCACATCACTTCCATATGGCTTTCTTTTTTTTTTTAAGATTTTATTTTTTAAGTAATCTCTATGCCTAATGTGGGGCTTGCACTTACAACCCTGAGATCAAGAGTCATATGCTCTACTGACTGAGCCAGCCAGGCACCCCTCCATACAGCTTTCTTGGGAAAAAAAAAAAAGAATCCACTGAAAGCAGGGACTCCAACAGATATTTGCAAACCCATGTTCATAGCAGTATTATTCACAATAGCCCAAATTTGGAAGCAACCCAAGTATCCATCAATGGATGAACGCACAGGCAAAATGTGGTGCATAATTATTTAGCCTTTAAAAGGAAGGCAATTTGGACACAAGAACTCTAAAGACATTATACCAGGCAAAATAAGCCAGATACAGAAGGACAAATATTGTAGCGTTCCACTTACATGAGGTACCTAGAGTAGTCACAGTTATAGAGACAGAAAGTAGAATGGAAGTGACCAGACCCTGGGCTGGAGGGGGGTGGGGGGAGACTGGGAGTGGGGAGTTAGTGTTAACGGGGACAGGGTTTCAGCTTTAGATGATGAAAAAGTTCGGGGTACGGATGTCAGTAAACGTGTAAACTTTTTTTTTAACCCTTTAAAACAGCTAAAATCTGCTCTAGACTTTGAATTACTCTTGGCACTTGCCATTCAAGAGACTTCAGTAGCAGCCATTCCTAGCAATTGTTGTTCCTGCTTTCAGAAAGCACGTTTAAAAACACACATTTTTCCCCATAGAAGAAAGAGTCCTGTGGTCTGAGGAATGTCTCCGTCGCACACTCAGATCTGAACAACAAACACCAGGACCAGCCGCGGGCTGAGAGATGCCAACAACAGCAGAGCTCAATACATTGTGTCGGGCAGCGGGGCTTTGAACTTCCTGGCTTTGTCCACGGATGTCACAACCTCTGTGTTATTGAAGCAGATTTTGGTATTTAAAGCAGATCAGGCTTGTTTTTTAAACATTCATTTCGATCCTAAGACAAATTTTCTGTTTGTCTAAGGGAAGAAGAAAGGGGAATGGTTGTTGGTGGGAACCTGCCAGACAGTCGTGCATTTGGGATGAGGGGGGATCAGAGTCAGGCTTGGTGTTTGTTATTGCTTTGCTGTTGTTGCTTAAATACATACGACTTAAGAAAAAAGGGATGGATCGCAGCACATAGAAAAGGCCCGAACCTCCTGCGTAAGCTAGTTGTAGTGTTCCAAACACGGTTTTAGACCATCATGTTTGCTCAACAAAGTCTCTCTGTCTGGAACAGTTTCACAGGCCTCCACAGACAATTCCTGCTCACTTTTTGAAAATCCATTTCTAGAAATCTTTTACAGATTTTTATTAAGATTTATTTATTTTGGGGGGGGAGCATGAGTAGGGAAGGGTAGAGGAAGAGGGAGAGAGAGAGAATCCTCAAGTAGACTCTCCACTGAGCGCGGAGCTGAAACAGGGCTCATTCCCAGGACCCTGAGATCATGACTTGAGTCAGAGTCAGGAGCTGGATGCTTAACCGACTGAGCCACCCAGGCGCCCCTAAAAACTTTTCTGAATCTGCCC